ACCTGTACCCAATCTCTATAAGGAATATCCACATACCAAAAAAAAAGATTAAAAAGTTACTTCAATCGGAAACTAATTTGTCCACGACCACTTAATAGTAAATCAATATTCTACCTCCTAACTAAAAGCATATGGTACCCATATATCACTAGAGTGAATTATGATAATTCACTCTCTTCTAATTCTGGCAATTTCCGGTAGATAACTAAAGTTGGGCGATACTTTTCATAACGATATTTTCTAGATCGAAAAATCAGAAATTCAAAAAATCTGAAAATCGGAAAATTGAAAGGTTGAAAAAACAACAGTTAGTTACCTATGTTTAATAAAAACTTTCCATTCTACACTTAACTTTTATTTAATAAAGAAACCATAATGGTATAATGGTACAAAGTATAGTATTAGACTCGCCTAGGGCTCACGCAAACGTCACCCTGCGTGAATAATGGCTACCATAAATTGCTCGTTTAATAATATATTTTGGGCCAGTGTATCTAAAAATATACACAATCAAACACTGAAAAGAAAATTCGAGAGACGCTAAAATGGTGGTTCCCACCTTATCGAGACTGAAGCCCACAAGGGTAAACTCGTAGCGTAACAAAAACGAGAAATGATTTAACTTGGAACGAAAGACCGAAAGCCTATAGTAGTATTAGGACGTTGAATTTTTTGTTTTGTGAAACATTGGCATTACTTAGGTTTATCCATGTGATGATTTTCACAAGCCTTGATTTTTAAAACCATTCTATATCGCCTTTTGATTAGGGTTTAAAAACTTGTTCGAGCAATTTTTCCAATAATAATTGGCCCTTTTACGTCTTAAGCCTGCTTATGTAAAATATTTGGGCTCCTTATTTTGCCTATTTATATTCTAATAAAGGACATAAAGGATAGAAGGATGAGTATTGCAACTATGTTAAAAGAAATAAATTGGCTTTCAGTTAAAAATTATATTCAGTACATGACTGATATTTATTTATAAAATAAAAATGACATAGTACCATCGCATCAGATCTATTAGAAAAAATTCAATATAATTCGCAATATCACAATTATAATACAAGAAGCCAATCTGACTTTCATGTACGGCAAGCCATCACTAAAAGTTCCCAAAATATAATTTTTATTAAAGGTGTAAAAAATTCAATTGATTGTCAACAGAAATTAAAAAAAAACAATAAATGTATTCAAAAGTAACCTCAAGAAGTTTACTAATTATTATTTACAATTCGCTGGTTGAATATGTAAACCAGCATTATATCCTACCTCTCTTTTATACAGTGAATTTTGAAATTTGCTTCATTACGTGTTGATTTATTAATGTTTAAAAATAACAAAACCTCACAAAATAGGAAAGCAACTAGACTAACAGTGACCTTCTAATGGCAAAAAGTCTTACTTCACGTCTGAACCAAAACCGAAATCATGCAGTGCCGAATTTTAATTATAAGGATGAGTGCGCTACGTTAATTTCCGTTATTCTGAAACAACAATTAGTCGAGAATTAATGAAGCAAATTTCAATTTTTTTTACACGGTTGAATAGAGAATAAAACCCTCTTTCAAATGAGCTATCACTCACCACCCCATGCCATTTAAATTTTTCGAAAGGGTTGCTCCTCTCCAGTAAGGGATGAAATTAAGGGTAAACTATTCATACAAAAATGTACATTGTAGAAATCAAAAATCGACGTGTCTCGGCGATTTTCCTAACAAGACTCCAGTAATGAGTTAGATAGGGGGGGGGGGTAAGACTTATGGTGCTCACTGTTTAATAAAAAAGTGCTTTGTATAAGAACATTATAATATCTGTCTTGCTGCACATTTATTTATGGAAAGCCTTAATTGAGATACACTACAAATTATTTGCAACAAATATCAAAAGAAGCATACATTTTTAAATAATTTTACATTTAAGAGCCATTCCCACATCATAGTTGACATCTTGATACCTGACAGGCATAACCAAGCATTATTCTGATTTTGGCCAAATAAAATGGCCGGTTAATTATTGGGGTTGCCAATAAATTTGATGAATGTGTTTTTGTGGCTAGGGGCGAAATAGTAGTACGCTTAAGTTAGCACCCCCATAAAAAAGTAATTTTTAAGAAACTGCTTATATATTTTTCATAATTGGTAGGCTTGGCGACTAATTTTGAATAAAAATGCCTCCAAAATGGCTATATTTGCAAATATGAAGGTCGCAACCCGCCTTAGAAATTTCACTTTTACTATCAACAGCTGTTGTTTGACAGGTCGTTAGAGAATGTTTGCAATTTATGAAATGTAAAGAATGTTAGGGATGTTGACGTTAGAAATAATTGGAATTCCTAAAATTGTCACATAAGAAATGCATAAGCGGATTTTAAGAAAAGTGATATTAAAGTAGTTAGAATGAACCGAAAATTCTGAAAATCAATAGGGTTCTAAGTTAGAAAGAATTATTCAAGAAGATCAAAACTGCAAGTCAATTAGAACTTTCGTTCTAGAGTTATTGTGCCGGCATACATATACACAGACGACCAGACGAAAAATTTTTTTTGCATTTTCGGACTCAGAATGATCGGAAACATAAAAAAAAGTTTAAAAAATGGGGGTAAGAAAATGTTTTCGTCTGCACGAATGCAATACTGAGGCCCCATAGGAACGGCCTCAGTAATTATTTAAAAATGAAATAAATTATTTTATCAAAACAACTAAAGAAATCACATTGGAATAAAAAAACAATAAAAATCATAGAATTTGAGGGTGTGCTTTGGCGTTAAACGTGTTAAGTTTTTAGGATGTAATAAGGTGCCCAATTCAAAAATGTATTTATATACTTGCTGGATGTTACAAGAATAGCAATTTTCTTGTAGAAATGGTATACTGTGACGTAACAACTGGATGTCACAAGATGCAAGGTTTTTCTGGATGTCACAAAGTGTTGTTAATAAAAATATATACCGTGTATACTTTGGATCTCACAACGATAGGACGTTTTATTTTTTTAAAATGTGTATGGTTGTAATATTTTTCGCTCAGTGATAATATTTTTTAAATTAAAAGAAGTCATATTTTTATTTTTTTCCTAAAGTCTTTGTAAAGGGTGGATGTCACAAAGTCAAAATTTTTGCTGGATGTCACATGATACGCTGGTCGAGTATATATATATATATATATATATATATATATATATATATATATATATATATATATATATATATATATATATAAACAATAAGATGCCAAGTCGTGTTAAAAACAGTGGCACTATAAATATTTTTAAGAGAACAATCAAAATATTTTTATTTTCTTACCCATTTTATGATATAGTCGCGTATATAGGTCAACTATAATCTGTTTTTTTACCATTAGATATATTTATTATTTTTTGTATCTATTTTATTTTAACGTTTTGGGTACAAATAAATTATTTCTATTCTATTTTGTTGATAGACTTTGTGGTCCCCTTTTTCACACATAAAAAATTAATAACTGCGCTACTGGTCAAAGAAAAATATTTTTTTTCATTGTTACAACTCTCTGTAAGACGGGATAAATGTATTTTAGTAATTTAATAGAAGAACTGTCATATTAGAATTTTTTGGCAAAAATATTGAAAATATTTTTAAGATCTTACTTATAATCGTAATTTGTATAAATGGTGATCCTTAATGTCATGTTAATTTTAAAATGAAATAATTCCTTGGCCTATTTTATTACTAAAATTTTATAAAGGCATGTGTTCTAAATTTCTTTGTTTTTAAGGTAACAATAACAATAACGTTATAATTTATTTTCATGACCATCTTGACATTTTCACTTCGATTATGGAAAAATATCACTTTTAAGACATGTATTTAGGACTTCTAGTCTAGTGTAAAATAAGTCTTTGATATCCAAAACAAGTATACCACAGTATTTATTAATTTTAAGTTTTAACGCTGTATGCTATAAACAAGGAGGGGTTTTAGTTACAACCACTTCGAAATGTTAATGATAGTCGATAAATTGGCTGAAAAAACAAGAAAACAACTTGATATAAATCTAAATTAAAATAAATGTCTTCTTGCTTAGATTACGTTGTACAAAATGTCATAATAAACCTTTTAACACACTCCAAATAAAATACCTGGGGGCACCGTTGGCTATAAACATTTTGGTAATTTTTATGTGGTCCTCATCAGGTACATGCAATAAAATACATTTTCGAAAACAAAACAAAATACCTAAAAACCTTAAAAAGCTACATATTTAATGGACAAAAAATTAGAATTGTAAAAAATCAGAGGCATGTTTTTTTAATGTCAATTGCGTTCCTCTCGGGTACGCCACTGGTATTAATAATTTTAATCCAATTAAATTTAAATTGCTCTCTTAATACTACAAATAAGCCTACCAAGTTTAATTAAAAGTATTATTAAGATATTAATTAAAAATATATTTTTTGTTAAACATGTAAGACCCTGTATATTAAAAACAAAGCAATATAGAGCACATGATTATGTGAAATTTTAGTCATAAAATAGGCCAAGAAATTACCTCCTTCACTGACATGACATTAATAAGAAAAATACTATATAGACGGAGTTAATTTTTTTGAAACCATATTTTCACAACGTACTTCGGTCTAAAGAACTCAAAAAGAAATAATCGAGTGGTGCAAGATCCGGCAATACGGGGACCTAGTCTGTAATTCAAATTCCATCGTCTTACCTTTAACAACAATATTAGAATTTATTCAGCTGCATTATAACATTTTTTTGCCGTTGCGTGTCTACCTACTTAAAAGAAACAAAGCAAGAGAAATTAATTGAAATAAAAATATTATTCTTATAGATATATATTAGCGATAAACCGGCAGCTCAAGACGATCGTCTTTGGAATAAAAGGGTGTTTCTCCCCAAAAGTAGGGCAGACTAGGTCACATTATAAGGTTCACGAACTGGAGGTTGAGAACCCACCTGTGGGAGTAAGGCTGATGTTTTTGTGTGATATTGTTGTGAGAATAAGTACTTACCTTTTTTCCTAAAGTGGAAATTTCCTCATTGGCTCTTATAAATCGTTCGAATTTGAAGCTGTTTGATCTATAAAGCTCGTTGTCGGCCTTTTTACTGCAAAATCGCCTAGCGATCGCTCGCGATTTGCAGGATTTACAGTCTTTTACAGAATCCCAATCAATATTAAATAAACCGCCGGTTTTTTTGTTTTCCTTGGAGGGGTGCCTTCTTGATTTACTTCTACGTCGTCGCCTCACTTTAATGTTGTCGCCGGCATTGTTGGTCATGTTAGTTTCCGCATCTGATTGTGTTCTTTTAGCGAGCCCTACGCGTTTTAACACTCTTTCCATTTCCACGGTAACGTTACAACTGGAGTAATATGGCAATTGGTGCGCACACCGCGCGCGCACTCAGCTGCTTTCTGATTTTCCTTTTCGATTTGGGGTAAATGCAAATTTCACTACCCCAACATTCATTCCACGTGCTTGTCCCAATCACAATCATCTTAATTATTGATTCATAAACACAATCGCATTTTTCTTTACTATTTAATACATTAATGTCCCTCTTTTCAGCTTTTCGCAATCCGCTTAGCGCTCGAAAATTTTTAGTTACAGGGTGACGTTCGTTATATTCTATTCCTGTACTCTATGATTTTTCGGGTTCAAATTTATTTTTTATTTACCTATCAATTCATTGACGTGCACTGAAGTTAATTTAAAATCCTTGCTTCATTAAATACCTTTTTATGGTAAAATAATGTAAAAAAGTATTACAACCTACCGTAACAATACCTATTCCTCAAAGTAGACTTTGTTTCGCCACTTGAAAGGTATCATTGCACATGAGACAGATGAATATCGCTGCGAATTAGCTGAAATCCTTCGACGTGTATATAATAGCCAAATATGGAATATGTTCCTAAAATGGAATACCAGTAAATTATTTTAACTAGCTTTAGCAACGCCACGCTAATAGCATCCAAACGTAGTTTAGGATCATATTTTATCCCCAATAGACCAATAGACGCTAAATGCAACGTATGCCGTCTCACAGTTTTTCTAATTTTTTCGTAAAATCGAATATTTCAGACATGTATTAATAATATTAGTACACAAGGGGATTATCAACTACCAACTTTTTATGCAGAACATATGTTTGACCATAACCTACGCTCTTTTTCTGTAGAGCAACTTTAACTAGTGTTACGGGTGATGTGTGAATCTAAAAATAAAAATGACGATGTACCTAATATGGAATAGTGCAATTTGGAATTCACAAGTAAAGAATACCACCAGTTTCTATTAAAATTGAAATTTTGCCGAAGAAGTCAGGGATAAACAGTGTAGTACAATGTAAGAAATGTTTAGGTTGGTGCCATGTCGACTGTTCAGAGAATCTATGGTTCAGAGGCAGAAAACAATATGTTTGTGCGAATTTGGTAAAATGGTTAAGATACGTTCTCCCGCCCGATATATTCGATGGAATTCTCTTTTACGCTGAATGATTTGTTTTTCATATTTCACAAAGTAATAAAATGTTTTGTGAAACGTCCTGTTTTTTATTTTTCCTTGGTACATATCCATATTAGGGACATATTCTATATTAGGTACAAAAATACAATTTTCTATAGAATATTTATCGGTGACTCCTGTAAAATAGATTTAATATTATGAATAATAAATTATAGTATTTATAGTTTTCAAAGGAGTAAAAAACCTACATAAAAAAACAACGGGTGTTAAGAAGATATTCTGAATTTAATATGTACAAAAAAACAAAACGGTATTCCATATTTGGCTCACTTGCTCTACCCTTTCTCCTCCTATATAAAGGGTGGGGCAGAATAACGAGCGCTTTTAAAATGTGTGTAAAAAGAAGAAAATCAAGTTTTATAAATAAATTTACTATTTTGTTAATGAACATAAAAAATCTGATGTGTCCAACACATGACTTTCCTATCTAGTTAACCTATTGCAGCATCTCTAAAAATGTTTAGAGGATAAACTAAATATATACATTTTCCACATACATCCACCTCCAAACATATTTCTATAGATATTCATTGAAAACGAAAATACTGAAAAATTTAAATTTAACACTTTTCCTCCAATTTTTCCATTACGGTCCATTTTAGAAAAGTCATTTAAAAACAAAAATTATAAATATCGATATCGCAAACAACTTTTAGTTTAACAATTTTCTTAAAAAACAGAATTTTGCACATTTTGTCAAATTTCTCGAATACGGACCATTTCAGGAAAATTTGACATAGAACAAAAATTATAGATAATAATATTGTAAGTAACTTTTATTTGAAGAATTTTCTTCCCCAAACGTAAATAACGAATATATTCCATAAAATATAAAAATGACCACCAATAAAGTACCCCCCCCCCCTCCCGAATGTTCCGACTCTGTCCAAACCCTAATCAGTTCACCTCAGGTCGAAATAAAACTTAAGTTTAAAATTTAATGTTTTTTCCTTTATCCGTTTTTGAGTTTTCTTCAAAATTCGAAATTTACACATTTTCTCAAATATCTCGAATACGGTCCATTTTAGAGAAATTATGTATAGAATAAAAATTATAAAGAATTATATTACAAACAACTTTTATTTGAACAATTTTTATAAAAAATTATTTTTTTTACATTTTGTCAAATTTCTCGAATACGGACCATTTTAGGAAAATTTTGCATTAAACAAAAATTATAGATAATTATATTAGAAGTAACTTTTATTTGAAGAATTTTCTTCTCCAAACGTAAATAACAGATATATTCCATAAAATATAAAAATGACCACCTATAAAGTACCCCCCCAGATGTTCCGACTCTGCCCAAAATCTAATCAGCTCATTGGACGCTAGAACAAAGCTTAAGTTTAAAATTTGGTGTTTTTCTGTGTATCGGTTCATGAGTTATGCGTTATACAGACACACACACACACACAGACACACACACACACAGACACACACACACACACACACACACACACACACACACACACACACACACACACACACACACACACACACACACACACACACACACACACACACACACACACACACACACACACACACACACACACACACACACACACACACACACACACACACACACACACACACACACACACACACACACACACACACACACACACACACACACACACACACACACACACACACACACACACACACACACACACACACACACACACACACACACACACACACACACACACACACACACACACACACACACACACACACACACACACACACACACACACACACACACACACACACACACACACACACACACACACACACACACACACACACACACACACACACACACACACACACACACACACACACACACACACACACACACACACACACACACACACACACACACACACACACACACACACACACACACACACACACACACACACACACACACACACACACACACACACACACACACACACACACACACACACACACACACACACACACACACACACACACACACACACACACACACACACACACACACACACACACACACACACACACACACACACACACACACACACACACACACACACACACACACACACACACACACACACACACACACACACACACACACACACACACACACACACACACACACACACACACACACACACACACACACACACACACACACACACACACACACACACACACACACACCACACACACCACACACACCCACACACACCACACACACCACACACACCACACACACCACACACACCACACACACCACACACACCACACACACCACACACACACACAGACAGACATCATCGCGAAAATAGTCAAAACGGATTCAGGGGACCTCAAAACGTAAAAATCCGTCGAAAACTCGAGGTCGAAAAAAATCATGATTCCTATACTTTCCTTATATCTGTATACAGATAGGAAAGTAAAAAGCATTGATTTTATTTTTTGAAATATCTCTGAAAAGATAACTTCCGTTCATTACGTTCCGTAGCATTGCCAGTGGAAGACTCTTCCTATCAGATCCGTTCTTTCAAGGCTCGAATTGTTCCTGGTAGGTTATATTTAAAAACTTTACTCTTCAAGTAACCCCACACGAAATAACGCATACTGTGAGGTCTAGAGAACGAGGAGGTCAGGTGTTGACCCCGTTTCGAGAAATCACATTATTTGGAGATAACCCCTTTTTATAAAACGTCTTCACACTCTTCACAGCGTACTCGCGTTGTTAAGGGGTCCAACGCTCCATTATTTCTAAATAGAGAGTTATAGCAACGCTAGAAACGTATGCGTATCTCTCTGACGTAAACGAAGAAATTGAGTATACGTTAAACGTGCAATCTGTAAGAAAAAGCATTGATCTAAACGTATCTAAAACACAACCTTTACTTTTTGAGAAAAATATTGATAGTTATATTGAGTAAATAATGAATTTAGGGGCTTTAAATGATGTTTTTCTCCTGGGCTCGTCTGACTATGTGTCTCCGAATAACACTGAAGCCTATTGGCTTATTGTGTTTTACCCCATGTTAGTTCATAGCACCCACTCTATCACCTTTGTTAAATGATGTTATGCAGTAAGAAGAATAATTTATAGTCTCATTTAAGCAATCCATTAGTGTGAAAAGTTCAATATCCCCAGAACTATTAGATTAACATACAGAACGGTAAATACTGTAACGATAGTTTAATTTATTTATAGTTTATTTATTTAAATCACACTATTTACAATTTATTTATGACGTACTAATTAATTTATATAGTACTTAGGCACTGACTCACAATTCTAATTTATTTATTACAATTTAACTTTTCTGTCCATCACTTTATTCTCAATTACTCGTCCGTCGACGAAATTGTGCTATTTATACAAAGCCCACTCTGTACGAGAAGTCTCTAGAGACAATGTGGAATGTCCCATAATTCCATCTCTATGACTCAACGTCACGTACCGCTTGCTCTGGTATATCCGAGACGCTTAGAGTTTGTCTCTATACGTCAGCGGTGTTTCGACCATGAGTCGAGTGGCAGGCTGAAGGTCGCACTATACAGGGACGGCTTAGGCATTCCCATGACAATAACATTGAAGTTCATATTTTAAAAGTATTTTCGACAACTTCAGTATGGAACAAATGCTTTGAAATGTGAGTCATACATTTGAAAACCGTTTGTAGGCCTCCATAAATATTATTTTATACTAGTTCATTATTGTGTTCTTATTGCCTAGTTACCAATTACCCAATGTTATACTTTATGCCCGTGCGGCAATCTGGTAAATTTGCAACCTC